ATAAGAGGCCTGGCCTGGTTCCTCTACCTGTTTGTTGGGAAAGGCTCTGATGCAGCGGGTCTGGTACTTGAGGCTGGATTCCCTTCGCTGCTGCACGTAGCCCATGTTCCTCAGGTCCCACACCAGCACTCTCCGCCCTGCTGTGCCCACAATCAGTCTGTCTCCAGACACAGAGAGTGTGTACACCTTGTAAAAACACATATTGACAGCATTTAACACTTATTAACCTGGCTATCCATCGTTCTTTGTAGAAAAACTGGCAGCAATAAGGAATAACAAAGAGGATCACATAGACAGTCCATAGCTACAGAATTCCCTTCAGCTTTAAATCAGACCTCAAATTTGGGATAAACTGCAGTGTGCAGGTCATTAGTGACATCACATTGCAAGCACTGAATTTATGGGCAAAAGGCAAACCAATACAAAGGAGCAGGAGGGGAAGGACATAGATATTGGAATTCAGCTCTGCTTGGTATGCACAGTTTGCATTCCCACTGCCAATTCCTCAGCAGTTCAGTCCTACAATGCCACATCACGTATTTCCTTCCTCCACCTACTAATGATGCATTTTTCTTTTAAAAACTGGATACTTTGAGTTGAGCTTCATGTTAATGAAGTGAAATAAATTGCCAAGAAACCATTAAAAAAACAGGACTTTGTATACTTTAATAAAACTAAGTGAAACTGAAGAAAGCAATTTGCCTGACATATTAACAAAAAAGACTATGGCTTGGAATTTCAACTCTGCTCCAAAAATTGGCTCAGAGGTTCTAACTTTGGCTTATCAAATTCCTCATGAAAATATTCAGTGTATGAATTGTTTCCAGCTATTACCTGGGATGGAATGCAGCTACCTACAGCTGTGCTGTCACCAGGCTGCTAACAAGAGCAAACTAAAGGAAAAGCATTATCCAAAGGGATCTAATGCAGCTAAATACATAGGAAACAGATCCTTATACACCTCAGATCAAGAATCAAAATGTAAGAGATGTGGTCTCCTGCCAGAAGGAATCAATTTACTTTTGGCATGTGCTTGTACAGTTTCACTCAAGCATCCAGTTTCACTTGCTGGTTCCCTGATAAAGCCAACAAAGCTATTTGGTTCTGGGAAGGTTGCACTGAAATATCAGGCACAACCACCTTTCTCTTCATTACTACAAGTATGTTTTCTAAAAGCTAATTTTTACCCAAAAATCCCAAGCAGACAGGTGTGTATGCACACATATAGGTAACACAGCTTCCTTTAGCCAGTCCTCATTCATTCAGCATCAATTCCTGCTCCAAAATGGGATTGTTCAACTTCCCTCTTAAGACTGAGATCTTAAGATGAGTAAAATATTCACATAGGAGTTGCCTAAAATTTCTGATGATTCCAAATAGGCATAAAAAAAAGTAAGAAAACTTTGAGCCAAGAGTACTTACACACTTTTAAGACATTTTTTCAAACCTATTATTGATGTAAAAATTAATCAAAAAAAAAATATTACTGAGCATTACATAAAACCTGTTTGTATACAGGCAGGGAAACAAAGGCATAAAGAACAGGAAATATCTTAAATCTTCTTCACAAACTGGTGTCACACCTGTACAGTGAGTGTTCTTTCTGCATCACACAGCCATCAATCACCTGAAACTCTTGTCATGCAGTGGAGTAGGTGTACACATTCATCAAAGGCAGCATTAAAAACTGACATAATGAACCTTCCTGAACCAATAAGCAGCTTGAGCCACTGTGGCTGTCCATTATATGATACTCTGCCAGGAATTTATCACCATGCTTTACATGCTACATACATCTATAAATCAAAACTAGGAATAATGCCATTGCTTGATTCTGAACAAAGGTCCTGCCACAAGTATGTTCAGCCCTGCTGGAACAAAAGTAAGAGCTATTTAGGGGCAAAGGGAACCTAATGATGGCTCATAATTAGGACTTGACAAGATGATGTCACAGTGCTAAATGAAATTTTTAAAAGGTACAGGCCAAAAAAATATTCCTATGTGAAATCATCCCAGAAAACCAGCCTGGCAGTCTGTGAAAAAACACCAGATTACTTGGTTTCATTCTCTCAGTGACACCACTGGAAGCAGAAAAAGATAAACACGACACGTGACCACTAGAAAAAGCTGAAAATGTTACATTTTACCTTATTTCTCCAAGTCTCCCAGAGGATTTTAGTACTGGGACAACATCAGAATTTACCAGGCATTAGCACAACACAAGTGAAACAATCCATGCAGTTCTGTTCCGTTTTTTAGCACAGGTTAAAAAACAAAGTATTATTTCAGGCAATGTAAATAGCTTCCTATGGACATGTATCCCTGTGCACCTTGCAAAACAATCTGCCCTTATGGATGTCAGAGCCTGACACATTTAAAGAAATCAAGTTTTAATTAACAGAATTAAGCCAAGCTGCTGGTTTTGACACATTATCCTTCAGGTTTGCTTTAAATATTCAGAATTTGGTCCAGCACAAGCATCAAGAATTAAGTTATTCCTCTTACTGAGGAAATCTCTAAGATTTTACCTAAAAACTGCAATATATTCTGAATACCAACCTTTTAAATACAAGTTTCACAGCTTTAAAGAAAACATTAAATACCACTTCACAAATTGAGTTGTTTCAGTGTCCTGGATGATGTTTAGAAGTCACAGGATGCATGAGCTAACACATCACCTGGAGTACAGACTCCAGCACATACCTTTTCAGGCTGGGAGAAGGTCCCTGCATTACAAGGAGTTCTGGGATCCCAGAGTTTAACTGTCTGATCCCAACTTCCAGTCACCATGACATTCACTTCTGGGCAGTACTCAACACACCTTATAGGAGCATCATGGGCACCAACAAGGTTTTCTGTAAGAAAACACAACACATGCTAACTCTCCAAACAGTCAGAATGCGTTAAGTACAGAATAAAAAACGACATTACTGCAGTACAAACATATTTTCTGACATTCCATGGGATGTATTCCTACACCAGGAGTCCCTTGAAGGACAGTGCAGTCTCAGAAGAAAACACTGGCAAAGATCAGGATTGTTAAACCCATGTTTCTAGAGATTATGAAAGGGAATTAAGAATTTAGGCAGTACCAGAGAGACCTTCAGAAGTATAAAGCAACATTCAGTATCAGATGGGTATTTGCCCAATACAATACAGAAAGCAACTTCAACTTGTGTATATCAATAATAAGACAAGAGAAGAAAATCCATATTAGATATTAGTAACAATATTAAAAGAAACACTTGTAGAAAGTCATGTGTAGCAGAATGATTTGAGCTTTTTGATTACATTACTGCACACACTCCTTTGGCAAGCCCTGGCTACTGGTTGGTGCTGGTCTCTTCTCTTTAACACACCAAAAAAAAATAGTGAGACAAACTACTTCCACATTTTGCACCAAAAGGGCACTGGAACTGTTATTTTCAGCAATGTTTTATTAGGAAAAGAAACTGTAGTACAAGGCCACGTGTGACACAGCAAAAACTTTAGACACTCTCTGCCATGAAATATCTTTCTAAATAGATCCAAACCACAAACATTTGAAGAATCACATGCTCAGGTGTAGTTCAGCTTGGCTAATTCCCCCTAACTGGGACACTGGAGCTTATGGCAGAGCAGGATCATCCTCAGAAATCCAGTTCAAGGTGTCCTACAAGCATCTTCCACACTTTGTGGCCAGGTAAAATTCTTCCATGCTTTTAGGCCTGACTTACTATCACCACTAGTTACTTTGCAGGAAAATATCCCCATCTAAAGCACCTGGAACACATTCTGTTGATGTAAGGATGTACACCTGAAGCTTAGGCCAGTTCTTGAGACCACCTGCTCACCTTGGTCCGTGTTTAGATCATGCATTTTCAGCTGCTGATCAAGTCCTCCACTCCAGGCATGGGTAGGATCCTAGAAAGCACAAAATTCCACCTTAGGACATGCATTAAGTTTCCATGGCTGCTGCATATCCAATGTCCTAAGCTCAGAACAAAGGACTCACTGCTCCCAAGAGTTTTGAGGAGATGGGAGTTGAGACAGAAGGGTAAGATCTAGCCCAGATTTAAACAGGCATATCACAGAAGCTTTGCAATGTGTAAGTACTTTGAGCTATATCATTTTTTTAAGTTTAGAAGTAAAACCAAAAAAATGAAAAGGGCAGTCAGAGGCTTTATTAATCAATTCCACTTCTGTAACAGGAAAGCTCATAATGCTTATTCTTAAATGACTGACAACCTAAGTTCCATCTAACTGCAGTCTAACCCTTCCAAAACTAATTTAGGAGGCAGATAAACATTTGAGAACCTGTGCGTTGATCCACAGTACAGTGTCAGCCATGTGACAAAATGTTCAGTGCAAAAAAAAGCAGAAGTAGACTTGGAAATTTAAACTGATCCTTAAAACATTCAGTAGCACATCAAGACACTAGAGGCCACGTCAGAATGCAATGTAAAACGAAAGTGTTGATTAAAACCTTCCACTTGATATGCTACACCAAAAAAAAAAAAAAAAAAAAAAAAAAAGCAGAACAACAAAGTGGCACCAATAAACTTGAACCACTCTGAAGCACATTCCAAATCCAGTGCACTGATACAGAAACCAAGGATCTAACAAATTGTCACTTGTAGCAGGAGTTCCTTGTGTGCCTGCACCCTTCACAGGAAATACCTGATTTCAGGACTAGAATTATGTTCATTAAACAAAGAATAATTGCCAGAGGTAAGTTATACTTTCACCCTACATTTCAGGCAGTGTTTCCCCCCCTTTAACTTCACAGCCTGACAATTTCTTGTGCCTTGGGCACTCTATGTCTGTGAAATAACAATTAAAAAGCCCTCACACACTTACATAAAAAGCACAGTCAAGGACAGCCCCTGAATGCTGATATTTGAGTCTCATGGTGTTGGCAGGAACATCATAGAGCCGAACAGTTGTGTCCCAGGATGAAACAAGCAGAAACTGAGATGTGTTTGGACTAAACTTCACCGATGAAATACCATCATCTGGGGTCTGATTGAGTTTGAACTCGTTTGATCCTGTCATCTGCAGACAGCAAGGCACAGATACAACTTGAGTGATTACAAGAACACAGTCAGCAAGTCACCAAACCAACTGAGCCATCTTAAAGGGCAGCCCAAAGGAAACCTGAAAAGTTTAGTGGCTTTGACACAGAACAAGTTCAGAACACTCAGGTTTCTGACGAACTCTAAAATTTGAGAAGACAATCCCTGTCCAAAACCTCAAGAAACTCCTTCCCCTAGAGATCTTTAAAATATCAAATATAACACGGAATGAATGGTACAAAAATATTATCATGATCATCATCTGCAAGCTTAGATATTCCTTACAAATGTACTTCCCCCACTCTGTGCGTGACTACTTTTAAAGCAAGTATTTGTAAGTTACTGTGACATCAAAAAGTTATTTTAAAAAGCACAAGGAGACAAAAAAAAAATCATTTGAAAACTCCAGCAACTGTTGATTTGTCCTGACTTGGTATGACTGTCACATACTTCCAGGAATTGCAATTGGATCATCTTTTACACAATTTCTGGGCTCTCTGCAACTTACAAACCTTTAGGTTTCTACAAGTGCTATAAAATATTTGCAACAAAAACAGCTTTAAGGATTTTTTCCCCTCCCTCAGAATCCAAAGGACAGGTAAGAAAGGGAAGTTATGCCTTGTCGGGTGCTGAAATGTAAAGAAAACATTGAAATGTGATATGTCCAGAAAAAAATATCAACAATCCAATGACAGATCCATGACTCTGAAGGTAACTGCAGCACTCACTTCAGTTTTGTGGCATATACAAAACTTCCAAGGGAACAGAACGAACTGCACATTTCAGCTGGAAAACAGTTCAGGCCTTACAAACACTTTAGGAGAAGAAACTGTTCATTATACACAGGCCAACAAACAACCACAACTGTTTTTAAAGATTCACAAAGCCTCAACAGCACATTCCCCTTATGCTAAAAGGGCAGAGGAGTAAATTAGCTCAGCCTTTCTCTATCCCTCCTGAATTTGGAGGTGCAACTGCAGAGGTGAGATTATGTTACACCTCTGAGAATAAACCAAGAGAGAATGAGGAGCCTAACAAGGGCAAGGTTCAAATTTGGGGCACAATGATGTCAGTTCAGTGCTTGTCAGTAACCAAACAATTATCAAGCTGTGAGCAACACACATTGCTACACTGAAGAGATGTCCTGAGTGGGAGCTTTGGCAGGTGTTCTACAAGACAACAAAAACTCCACTCACTATGCCAACACAAAGTGCTATTTCTGCCATTTAAACATAAAGTGACCGGGGAAAAAAAACTTTCAATTACAGAAAAGCTTCTCTCTGAGCACATTTTATCAGCTCTACTTTGGGAATAGCCAGAAAAAGAGGCTTGAGGATTTGCCACACATCTTTCCATAGGAACACTACAGGGAATTCTGCATCAGTGAGTGATGGATGGAAGACACAAAATCTAAAGGAATTCAGAACACTGGGAAGATTAGGCTGGACATGCTAATTGCCTTTTCTAGTTGTGCCAGAAAAATCAAACAACAAACACAAGGATTTGAGGCACAAGTTATTGCATTGTTTGAGGCCTAATACAAGTTATTAACCAGCCCAAAAGCAAAGCCACTTGCAGCAGAAACCTGGAAGGACCTCCTAGAGGCATTTTTAATCCAGAAAAGCATACATACCAAGACTTAGATACACCCTACCTTTAACACGTGCTGAAACCCATATATGAGATAGAGAGCTCTGCATTTCCACACAAGCAGCTGCTTCACAACCAGGACTGCCAAACCAGTGTTGTGCTCACCTCAAACCACAAAGTCCTGGAAAAATGCTTAAAGACATCACAGGGAAGGCCTGTGCTGCCGACTTACCTACAGGATTCAATTTTGTCCCCCCAAAAGCCCATTTTTACTGAAGAGGTAAGAATTTAGTGCATTCACAGCCCCTGTGGGCACAACTGTAACTTCAGCTGGGCAAACACCACAGGAAGTTTGGGCGAGAGGCTCGGGATACACTTTCACTACGAAAAGAACAAATTTACAGTACCGTCTTCATGTTGAACGAGTTCTCGCTGCTCTTCGCAACACCCGAGAGAAGCTTCTTCAACGCAGGAACAGGACAGGGCAACGAGGCGCCGGTCAGTGTCTCGGTACGGCCTGGAGAAGCAGCTCGAGATGCAGGAGACGCTGTGGAGGGCA